ATTACTGACCTCTGTCATCATTTTAAGTGGGGGAACTTGCACAATCGGTGGCTGACTAAATACTTTTTTGCCCCACTGTATGCAGTATCAGTCTTCTCAAAAAGGTCTTAGATCAGCACATTTCTCAAAATGTCACCATGTAGTGCATGTCTCTGTAATTGTAACAGCAGCAACATGTCAGCAGTATTGTTAGTATAAATAATAAAGCATATATTTATCTCTGATTTAAGGTGGTGTGCGTTCTTTCACATGGAGAAAAAGGGTGTGTCTTTGGCACTGATGGGGAAAGGGTGTTCCTGGAAGAGCTGACGGACCCCTTTACAAGTGGAAGAGCCTCAACCTTGGCAGGGAAGCCCAAACTCTTCTTCATTCAAGCCTGTCAGGGTGAAGAATACCAGAAAGGATACCCTCAAAGCAGCAGAGAGGACGAGAACCAAAACAAAGGAGCACTGCAATCAGACGCCTCAGTCCCTGATGAGACAGTGCTAGTGCCTGAACGAGCAGACTTTCTGATCGGCATGGCCACAGTAGAGGAGTGCAAGTGCTTTCGAAACACAGTCACGGGATCTATCTACATCCAGGAGCTGTGCAAGCAGCTGACAATAGCAGCAAGAAGGTGAGTTGAAGTGATTAGTTTCTTTATTGCAGACCACACTACTGTTATATGGGAAGGTCATAGTGCAGTAGTTTCCAACAAAGTAGATTTTTTAAATGTAATTTCTGTTACATACAGTTCGGTCCATAGAACTTTGGACAAAAACAAAAATGTAGTAGTTTTTCCTCTGTAGAGCGCCTCAATACATTTCCACACAATCATGATGTGATTGAAGTGAAGACCTTGAGCTTTAAGTTTTACAAAAAGCACAGTTTTAACTGTTTCAAAATTACTCATTTTTACACAAACTCCACCATTTTCTGAGGCTCAGAGTAATGAGGGAAGACAATCAAATGCATCAAATCTCTGTACATTTCTGTCTGCCTGCTTTTGGTGCTTTCAGACATGGTGTTGGCATGAGTTGGGTCTTTTGTCAAAATTTTGAAACTATCCTAAATGTGTCCTTTTTTTATTCTCATGTTGTCCTTGCAGCCAGGCGATGGACGATATTCACACTGTCCTGACACGTGTGAACGGGGAGATCAGCGAAGGAGAGTATTCAACCCACAAACAAATGCCGGAGCCCAAATACACTCTCACCAAGAAGCTTGTCCTCAAATATATATGACCTGACTGTGACCAAATACAAAACTATACAATACAAGTCTACACAATTCTTGCATAGAAAAATGTTTTTCACCTCACAATCATACATTCTTTCTTGGGCTATAGTGCTATTTACCTAAATTAAATTTTTAATAGGAAAGACATTTTGTTTGTTTTTTTGTCATGAAATTTAAAAAAAAAACATTCAAGTGGTTTGTATTATTTAGTGTTCACAGAGAACGATTGACTCTTACACCACCTCTTACCTTTGAGCAGCTGCCGAAAAGAAACATTACAGGTGCAACACCTCTGCACTTCTGCCATGTCCACACTAATTCATTTTCATCTGAAAACACATCTTTTTCTCTCTGTTTTGGCCTTCTGTTTTTGGTGAAGGTAAACAGAGCTTTTTGAAAACGCTCTCCAAAGCAGATACATTTGTCGCAGTGTGGACAGCAAACCCGGAGCCTTTACGAAAACAATGACACATTTTAGTCATATGATCGAGTCATGTGACCAATTAAACAAAGATATATAAGATAAGGGGATTATACAGCAGTTGTTTAGTTTGCTCTCAACTTTGACAGCCCTATTAAAGTTTAATATCAGTCTGTACATGTTCCAGATAGCTTTTCTTTAAATTCTTTCATTCTCAATCGCTTTTGCAACTTTGTACTTTTGTGTTAATCGCACCACCACTCCTACCTTATTATCAGTCTTGGTGCTTTTCCTCAACATTTTTCATTTTTAGACGAAAACACAGTTTTCAAATTTATCTGTGTGGTGGGGCGTGGTCTGCGGTGGCGTGCAGGGAGGGCGGACGCACCTGCATGGCATCCGCAATCACGCCCGCCAGGTTAAAACACGGGGACTCAGGTGTGTGTTGTGATATGGTGTGTGGTGTGATGCA